GTAGGTTTTGTCGGAGCTTCATTAAAAAAAACCAATTCTCCACTGCATACAAGACAGACGAACGGATTCTAAAGGATATCGTTTACAAAAATACTACACCAAAGAAACAGAACACAAAACTACAACTCAACGTCTACTACAAGTCTACCACAACGTCGGACCTTATCGTGAAAAACAGCCCTGCTAAAAAGACAACAGATCTACAGCAAGTGAACGTCATTTACGAGTACAAGTGTAATAAAGGAGACTGCGAGCTCCTGGCAAACGCCTCCTACATCGGAATGACTACCACAACCCTGTCAAGACGCCTAACAATGCACCTACAAAATGGAGCCATTAAAGAACATTGTGCCGGCCTCCACAACCAGAAACTCACACGTCAGGACCTAGTACAAAACACCAAAGTAAACCGCCGAATTTTCGATTGTTTGTTGATTATGGGAGTTTGGTGTAGGATTTTTATTGCTTCGTGTATTTGAAGAGTTGTGAAGTCGTTAGGAACAGCACGCACACTGCTACTTCTTGGCGAGAAACCCTCAAGCCACAATACAACACTCCACCAATTAACGCCTTCCACGAGCTAGATACCGCCACCTGCTTACCCATACCTATAAATATCCACCAACAGTAATCACAATTCACACAACATTCAGCCTTGATAATGGATGCAGAACGCATTCGAAACGCGTCGGCCAACTCTACACTAGCTACAACTTTTACCCGTTGTTCTAACAACGTTAAGACGGCTTATCGACTTCTTGAGAATAATTCTAAGAAAAAAGTAAACCTACGGACATCGGTCTTGTTTAACAAAATCTGCCTACAAGAAAATCTGTCACCAAAGTACACCAACATACATATATATATATATATATACAAGAAGTTATTCTCGTGTAGGCAAAATATGAAGTCTCTCAGTCGCACTTCAGTTAGTCTGAAGTCTTATAATGCTAAAGTCAGGTTTTGTTACTCGTGATGGGCACAACACAGATAGCCCATTGTGTATCTTCGTGCTTGACTATACAACAAACAAGACGAACGAAATATAGAAATCAAGCGTGTTGGAAATTTTTATTCACGAGAAGAATATATTGGCAAATATTTTCGATTCAAAATTGAAAATGATAAACAGTCTTCCAGAGGGCTGCTATTGTTACTCAAATTAGCATGTTGGATTGACAAGTTTTAAATTAAGACATGCGATAACTATAGAATATTAAAGTAAGATTTTATCAACTTAAAAGTAATTCTGATTTCTTTTTAATGCATTAAGATGTAAAACAGTACAAGAAGCTCATCAGACTGTACTTACCAGATTGCATACAGAATCCTCCAAGCAAGAAGACCGCTACGACAACTGCAAACACAAGACGTGACATTTTGAAGAGCTGAATTCGAGTTATGACACGTGATGCACGTTTTTATCTGAAATACATCGGTTTCACGACCTTATATAAGTTGCAAGTCGTCGTGTTTTATGCCGTTAGAGCGTATTTGTATGAAATACAATAAAAAATGAGTCAGAGTATCGGATGTGTTAACTGAACCATAAAGGAAAGAGGGTGTTTTGGTATCAGATTACTGTTTGAAGAGCTGCATTACGTCTGTCGGAATGGGGATAACATATATTGATTTACTAAGTTGGGGTTGTTTAATAATACAGAGGCTGCCTCGAAACTATTTCATTTGGGATACAACTGTTCAAACTTTTGTGTTGTCATATACACGTCACTGTAGGAATTGTGTTTTATCGCAAATGTAAATAATTATAATAATAATTACCTCGCTCTTCATACTTGTTTAGCTGAGTTTGGTAACATGGAGTATACGATCATAGTTCGTGTTTTTGTCAAACCAGAAAGTACGTGAAAACGAATATAATGAAAAGTCCAACATTTCAGAATTTTTGTGATAATAATTTCTAACGGTCTATTTTATAGTAGAAATCTTAATACGTCGACATTTCTCTGTAAGTAAAACAAAACTGGATTATGCTTTACTGATTACGGTATTAATTTCACATGAAACAATAATTAATTTCAGTACAACGGTGTTCATAAAATAAGATGAAAAACGGGTTAGTTTAAATACGATGATGTTTATGAGTTAAGATACAAAACGAGTTACTTTCAGTACGATGATGTTTATGAGTTAAGATAAAAAAGGAGTTACTTTCAATACGATGATGTTTATGAGTTAAGATACAAAACGGACTTACTTTCAATACGTTGATGTTTATAAGTTGAGATAAAAAAGGAGTTACTTTCAATACGATGATGTTTATGAGTTAAGATACAAAACGAGTTACTTTCAATACGATAATGTTTATGAGTTAAGATACAAAACGAGTTACTTTCAATACGATGATCTTTATAATTATAAGTTAATATACAAAAGGAGTTACTTTCAATGCGATGATGTTTATAAGTAAAGATAAAACGGACTTACTTTCAATACGTTGATGTTTATAAGTTGAGATAAAAAAGGAGTTACTTTCAATACGATAATGTTAAAGTATAAATAAACTGTATAACTCTTTGTGTGTGAATCACCGTCTTTGTATTAAAATATCGTTTTTATTGTAGGTTTTCAACTTCTAACATAGAAGTATATACAAAACAATTTCGTCTTTGTCTTCAAATAAACTGAATGAATTACATCGCTATTTTCAATTTGAGTGAAACTTTACGCAAAACGATCAGGTAAGTGACACTTATGGTTCATGGATATGTCAAGAGGGGGAGCAACCAGCCAGCAGCAATGGTGAGATTGACTGTAAAAAGTTACAACGTCACAACAACTGAAAGAGTGGAGTATGCTCAGAATCATGTCGTGACTGTAACCTTGGGTCTTTTGATCCACAGCCTAGTACACTAACCACGAAACCACGCCCAATACAAATAATTGTAAAACACAAAATAGAACTTCAGTCATGATTATTGATGTGGGCGGTTCTAGTGTCGCAGTGCTCAGTACTACATTAAAGAAGAACACTATTTTGTTGTTGTTGTTTTTACTTAATTGTATAAGATATGTTAGAAAAATGGTTATCTTCAGGTTTCACTTTTGCTGAAAAAAGCTAGAAACATTATGTACATAAGTATAAAGTTGTGGCTCCAGAGAAACGTATATGAACGATGACATACTATAAATAAGTACAGGAATAAGCTTTGAATCTATGTTCCAGTGTTCATCTTTTGTCTTTGTTGTTGATCTTAACAAATCCTTGCATAAAAATCAATTTACTGGGATGTAAAAAAAACACTAAAATGATTAGATTTATATTTTGTAAAAAAGTCAGTTTCTAAAAAATCGTTAGTATTCTCACTCGTTCTTCTTTAATGAATTGTTGTTGTTGAGTGCACAGCCACACAATGGGCTTCCTGTATCCTGTACATCACGGGAATCAAACTCCGGAATTAGCGTTGTAAGTCCTTAAACTTATCGCTGATCCATTGGGGAACACATTAGATTCCACCAAGCATTCGTTTTAACTGAGAGCCCTTCGCCGTGGCTCAGCTGAAAGTATGAAGGTTTATAACGCTAAAAATCGGGTTTCGATGCCCCTGGTGGCCAGAGCACAGATAACTCACTGCGTAGTTTTGCGCTTAACAACAAACAGACCTGGCATGGCCTGGTTAGACCCTCGACTCGAAATCTGCGGTTTGCGGGTTCGAATCACCGTCACCTAACATTCTCATCCTTTCAGCCGTGGGGTCGTTATAATGTGACGATCAATCTCACTATTTGTTAGTAAAAGAGTATCCCAAGAGTTGGCGGTGGGTGATCACTAGCTGCCTTCCCTCTAGTCTTACACTCCTAAATTAGAGCAGATAGTCATCGTGTAGCTTTGCACGAAATTCAAATCAAACTAAACTAAGAACAAACAAGTTTCAAAGGAACTAATTTGTCGAGAGAAAGCTAAACTAATATCACACAACAGATATATCACAGCTTAGAGCCAACTTTAGTATTGTGTGATTCAATACATCTTGGAGTTGGTTTTACTAAAGTCCTGGCATGTGAGATAATAGAGGTTGATTTGTATTTAGTAGGATCGTCATATATCCTCTACTTGATTATAATGATATCCCATGAAATAGATAGATATAAGCTATACCATTATGTTGCATATTCATATGCAGGTTTGGAGTTCCGTAAGCCATCCCATTGTATTTCCGGTGTGAAATTGACCTTTTAGGGAGTTGAATAATTTAAGAACAAAACCACGTATAAAAATCAAAACTTAAATACATAGGCATATTTGGAAACGCATACATTATGTTCTTACAGATTTGTGAAGTTCAAATCAAGTATCGGCTTGATTTATAACGAAAATAAGTCATAAAAATCAGATAAGCAAAGTTATATATTATTATATTATATTAACTTTCATGTGAAAATGGAGTGGCCATGTGATATGTCAGGGTGATTGCATAAATACAGGAATGTAACCACATCGTGGTTAATCTGAAAAAATAATGGGCAGAAGTAAAGATTTCTCAGGCTTCCAGAAAGAATGAAAGTAGCTGCCCTTCTAGAAAGAAGCGAAGAAATTTTTGTTTGATTGGCTATATAAAAAAACATATTTAATTAGAGCGTATATATATATATAATGACGATTTGCAAGAGAAACAACGATTTGGCGGGTTTATAAATCACAATAAACAATAGTCTATGTCTAATTTGGTCAGATGTTTGAACGGTTATTACGACTTAACTGTTTCTAACTGTTCCATGCGAGGGAAATCACAAAAACTATTGTATCACAGCCGAACTCTCAATCTGAAAACTGCTTATCTCAGATGCAAGCAGGAAAACGTGGATTCGGTGTTTCTAAGAACATAAACTGTAGATAAGTAATGATTGGAAATACGTTCTATAGTATGATAAACCACCTGTAATCCATTCCTGTACTATAAGTAGAGCAAAAATCTGGAAAAAGCCACGTGAGACGCGACTTCATGGATTTGTTTCCACAGCGACAGAGATTGGATCTTTTGATTCCTTGGAGAAAACAGCGTCCAAATTATAACGTAAATGTGTTGTACCCACAATGTTGCGCATTTTCACCTTTCAGTGGTACAGCGTTAAGTCTGCGCACTTCTAACGCTAAAAACCGAGTTTCGATGCCCGTTGTGGGCAGAGAACAGATAGCCCATTGTATAGCTTTATGTTTAACTACAAACAAACAATCAAGCACTACGTTCGCATTATTTGAAATTAATTTCAATAACATGACAGCGGCTTCTGTCATCTTCCTTCGCCATCACGATCACCAGATCTCAATCTAATTAAGCGTCATCTTTTAACCAGTTGAAGACTGTACGTCTTGGCGAATTATGTAAAAAATATTATTTCAATGTGGTGAGATATTTAATTGCATCTATGACTCCCATTAGTTTTTTTGTTATACCTGTAAACTCCCAGTGGAGCATAGGGCCGCAACAACACCTCGCCAGCGGAAGGAGTTGTTGCAGTTACTTGTAGCAGGTTGGTTTTTACGGGGTGGAGTTGCTAGCCCCGCGCCCAACCCTCCCCCTTTCTCATCTTGGACTTGGGACCAGGCAAAGGTGGAGGTTGGCATGTTTGGTGTGACGAGGATTCGAACCCGCGACCCTCAGATTACGACTCGAGCATCCTAACCACCTGGCCATGCTGGGCCATGACTCCCATTATTATTTGTAAATACGTTCAAATAGATTTTATTAGTAATTGTTTAAGCACAGCAGTACGTCCTATTTTAGTTAATGATTGTTAATGATCAACTTACTGTCCTATGTAAATAAGATTTTATTCATGTTATGCAGAATTCCAAAGATATTTCTCATAACATACGAAACTGCTTTCAAGCAGCGCTATATATATTATTTGTCGCAGCTGCTATGCCAAATTCTGTAACTGAAAAACTAAACAAAAACAATCAACCTTGGAATATTCTTTTATTTGGCCATGCGCCTGAATTCTGTACTAATATTTCCATACTTGCATCACGCTATACAGCTGTTTATACGTGCCAAAAACAGGCCTTAAGGTGAGTAATAAACATAATAGAAGTACTAAGGTAAGACCATTAACAAAAGTTTGTAACGTAAACTACTAACAAGTCCAGCAGAGTTTCTAACAAGAATAATTAACGTCATAGTTTATTTTGAAATTCGCTTCCCACCCCAAAGTGTTAGTTTTTTTTACAGACTTACAACGCAAAATTCCGGGGTTCGATTTCCCATGGTGGAGAGAGAGAGTGCAACTTGACTATTGCGTTGCTTTGCTTTAAGCCTAACAAACAAAAATAATATTTTAAAATTCAAGTTACAACACACATAAAAATACTAATGTAATTAATAACTAACTAAACTAATTCAGCTCAATTCGAGTCCTAAGTATATAATCTGCCAGTTTTAACTATTTTCTTAATGTTTAATGTCAAGTCAGTCTCAGTCAGATATATTGAATACGCCCATTT